CCATTCCACTTTTATTTCCGCTCAGCTCGTAATGGATCCGCTATATCTATCGGAAATGCTTTTGATCGCACCCTCACCCTTGTGATTTGATGGTGTCGCGCTCAAAGTGCCATCGCATCATGCGCCCATCATCGTCCGGCGGCGCTGGAGCGTGCAAAATGAGCCCCTGGAGTGGGTGGCGAACGCCCACCCATGACACTCGTGTTTGCACTGACACGGTTCCGTGGCCCCGAGTTGATGGTCACACTGGAGAATTCCAGATTAGAGGGAGATTTTTCACCCCGCGCTCGCCAACTTCACTGGCTCTCCCGGGACAGGCGCTCTCTGCCACCTCCCGGAACAGATAATCCCAAAGTCGATGTTCTCCGGGTGAAATTGGCCCATAAAACTGAAGAGCTTTCCTGAACTTTCCATTGATGTGGCAAGTTTAAACAAGTAATTCGAAAATTGTCTTTGTTGCCATGTTTTTTCAGCAAGTTTCTGCCAATAGGGAGTTCTAATGCTAAGAGTAATTTTAGGTTCTCCACCAGCGAAATGCGACATTAAGTCGGAAAATATCCTTTAGGATTAGCACCTCTATGTATGTCGAGAGAAAATGTTACGCAATTCCAAGTAATACAGTCGAACAGATTCCCTTTTCCCCCTTTGAAAATTGCACAATTTTCACTGTAACGCCGTGTTGGCGTTTAAAATGCATGCAAAAAAGCAAATCTGACTGATGAAATCAGTGTGAAATCGTCCACCAGGGACCGTTCTAGGCACACTCAACTCTGTGCTGATGGTGTTTGTTGGCCAACGGACGGGGAGATTCCGGTGCATCCAGGAAGTATAAAAATGAAATTTATAGTGTGGTGCACTCTTTGGCGCCCTCGATCTCTCGCCCAGAGGCTCGTGGCATGATCTACTGTGTGAAATACAATTACATGATGCCACTTGTACGGGAAGCACTGTACATCATCCGCCCCTATTGGGGCGCGAGACCTGGGCATTTTTCCCCAGCTGGCGATGCTGCGCTCCTCCGGCGATGATGGCGGAGCTTCACGCTGAGATTTATCTATAAATTGTAAATGCGGTGTGCAGCAGAATTGAGAGATTAATTTTAAATGCGAACAGTGCGGAGCTCTTGTGCCGCGAAAACCGTGAACTACTTAATATTTATTGCATTAGTTGCATTAAAATTCTATGCATTTTCCACCGATTTCGGTTGAGTCGCACAAAGTGCGATGGGGAGAATTCTGCAAATATCCCAAAAATTGCACTCTAAATATGAATAATAGAGAAATCAGTGCTCAATTGCTTGTCTCTCTTAGCATACACACACATATGCTATTCCCATGTTCAGCTCGAGGGAAGGAAAAAAAAGATGTGAATGGGAGAAATGTTTGCCCACCCACTTTCGCGTGAATGGGATAATTTTCTCGATAAGATGCGTAAGTAATTTGAGGGGCATCAGTCAAATAAATTTCGAAGCATTAATACTTGTCGGGAGCAAATCTCTCTCATGGATATTAATAAATTGACAATGAAGATATCTCAGTGGAAACACTCTGTGCCACATTATGTGCATTGGGATCATCCCCCATTTGATGCCTATTCTCACCCTCATTCATCATCTTTTATCAAATTCACCCACAAATTCAACTTCCATGCGTGCGATTCCGCACACGCCAAGTGGACTACAAGCATTGTAGTCTATTTAGCAATTCGGGCATCGGTCAATATTGCAGAAAGTTTCGCTGAAAATTGCACCAGAAAAAGTTTGTTATTCATTTATGAATTTTAACTATAGAGATTCACTAGAAAATCACTCTGAACTCTCTCACATGTTTTCCACTCATTTCCACTACACGCTCCAGGCATAATTGCAAAGTGAGCAGAAATGATTTTTCACCAGCGCAAAATAGATTTTTTTCCCTCAATCGAATGCAATGAAATTGTAGTTCTAAACCACATATTCTGTGTGTTAAATTTTCTATCATACTCCAAAAAATAGTGCACTATGGGAAAAGCGTCTTAGATAAATCATAAGATTTCCTGAGAATTTATCTGTTGAAAGTTTTGGCGAAAAGTTACGATGCGAATTGGCCTCTCTTGGCGGTGAATAAATCATCTGGAGTTTTTCCACCCTAAATCAAATGGTGACTCTTGACAAATTTGTATCGCCAATGCGCTAATTTATACATTTTCACTGATGACATCAATTTGTGTGGTGGATTTTGCAGATTTCCCCTCGAAATTAGCGTCATGGGTTGAGGATGTCGTCAGTTTAGGAACTGCGCCACTCGAAATCGCATGCCAATAATGCTGGATGTTTATTATATGTATCTACCAACTATTTAGTGGTGTGAATATCATATGTTTACACTGAGGATTATTGCACTTGCTGATTGCTCTTATGCATTCAGTGCGCTCGCCAGCCGACCATCATCCATGCCCATAGTGCTAATCGATACAAAGTAGTTATTAATAGGCGGTTTTTGGCCATTCGATGGCACTTTGTTATTTCGCTGGTCCCACTTAATCACCCCTCGGTCATCTTATTAATTGATTTACATATAAAATCAAATTGCGCTGCGAGTTTATCGGTGGCCATTCCATGAATGCGATAGGAGATAAATTTAAGGCCGCACAATAGCAACTAAATTGCATTGTGATAAAACATGCATCGCCATAACCGAGCCGTTGGCAATATGAGTCCGTGGAGTGGTGCGGAGTCTCTTGGCTCATTTTGTCATAAATTTGAATTTATTTCCCTGGTAGACCAATTGAAACGAGCCAAGGAGCAGAATTAATAGACGAAAGATGCAGTGAAATAATTCACCATTCTTCTGCAGTGTTTCATTTCATTACGCTATTTCATCTACGGCGGTTTTTATATCTTCTCTCTTCTCTCGTCCGACACATTTTTGCTACATTTTCACCCTCTTTGCGCGCTCACATCGGCCCAGATATGTGGAGCAGCGAGGGAATATTCCCTGTCATCTCATTTTTGGGCCAATAATTTTAAAAATCACTTACAGAGTGGAAAAGGCAACTTTTCACCCCTCCAGAGGAAACGAGAGAGGGACACTGTGCTGTGCGAGAGATAGACATTTATTGAGATATCACATGTGATGGCTTTATTTATTAACAGTCTGTGACATGAAATAAATTATCCGTTTTTTGCGGGCTCCCAAACACATCACTTCCCAATTACATTCAACCCCTCTCGAGAGAGATACGATTAGGGATGGTCCACACAGGGTAAGATTCTCAGCACGCCGGAGACGCAAAACCACCGCACACACAAACTATTTTTTGTCCACATTTAACCATGAGGAAATTTATTATCTACGAATGATTTACTTCCCATACGAGTCCCTCGATATGAATTCAGGGCAGCATTTCAGTTGGCAAATGTCCTCCGGAGCGTGAAGAAATGGAATATTGTGATTTAAATTGAACCACACATTTCGCCTGAAAGAGTAATGAGTGTCTCTTGCGGCGAGAGGTCTGCCAAGACGATTTCAATTGAGTCTTTATCGTCCCGAATTACCCTTCTTCTCCTTCAGTTCGTTTTCGGTTGTGTGGCAAAAGCTCAGATAGAATACTGAAATGTGTAGAATATTTTTTGAGCGGATTTCGCTGCACGTATTTGTTTATTGCAATATTGTCAAATTTTTCACATGTGGAAAACCTTTTGGAAAACTGAAATTTCAACTATATTTAATATAATTACTCTCAGAGCTTTTTGTCATTGTCAATCCCCCATTCGTTAAAGCTCTCCTCTTTTATTTATCAATTTATTCGCAGCGCGTGGGAAAAGCTTTTTGAGTAAAAAAAAAAAGCACACCAAAAACTAATACGTGTTCCATCGTGATAAATTCATAAGGCAGATTCACGTCTATGAATAGAACAAGAGGTGAATAAATTCCACTCATTCCTCTCCATTCAAATTGAAGTTGAAAATGTGAGCCTCTCTGTCAAAGCGTGGCTGCGACAGGAAGTCTTTGAGATGGAATTGACATTAAAGATATGGCATTTTTCTCCCTTTCTCACGATCACTTTCACCAACACGCGCCCTCATTGGGGAATGATGGAGAAAAAACTTTGAGGGTTTTTTCTTTACCATATTCCCACTCCACTTTCCATCTTCCCCGCGCCTTCGGTGAGGGCTTTTCAGGCGCACACCTGTCACATGGAGTCTTGCGTTAAGTTTTTGTGTTCTGTGCCTTGTCTAGAGAAGGCAGAGTTGGCCCACTGGTAGATGGGAGATTAGGCAACTTCCTGCGATAAGCCTAATGACTGCCAAGACTGCTTATGCTGTTGAGATTGGCAGAGCTTTTGAATACAAAAAGACTAGACGCTGCTTAGCTCTTGACTTGAATCTTGATGAAAGTGAATTTGATACTAATGATAAGATCAATTTCACTAAGAAAGCTAAGATACTGGGGATTTCCAACTGATTCTGCTTTCCCGTAAATTTTCTTCTTTGAATTACACTCGTAACAATGCGTTGAAATTATCTGTACTTATCGCGAAGATTCACAGAATTTTTGTGAATCTTATTATTGGATATAATAGAACAAAAAGGAACAGGTAAAAGAAAATAAATAATGAAAAAGTCGTAAAATATTTCACAACTTATGCAATATTTTGTTTACTGGTCAATTTGTGTTTGAAAGAATGAAGAACACCAAAATACGAACCATAAAATCAGAGAATCAAAGTATTTGCACCATCATCGTCCGGCTTCCCCGCAACCCAAAGCCCATCCTTAAGAATCCTTCATCTGGGATTCCCTGACACCTCGTCTGTCCAACTCTACGAGCGCCCTGGGTCGCCCATAGAGACACATCGAGGCGGCAAAAAAGAACATTCCTGTGTGTTTTCCCCAACCGCCAATGCGTTCACATACCGCGTGCCGCATTAAGGATATTAGCCACCATTAAATATTCAGGAGCAGCATATGCTTTTCTCATATCGCTGGTAGTCGATTAAATATACATATCATTTTACAGATCCACCTGAAATAAGTGTGGAGACACCAGTTGTGTACTCTGGCGAGGGGGAAGAGGCCATGCTCGTGTGTATTGTTCACGGAGAAGCGCAACCAGAGGTAAGCGGCAGATTTTCCATCCGCATGTTAATATTTTACACCATTTTTCTCATTATCATCTCTCTGACACACAAATGGCGATGGTGTGGGTGGACCAAACGCCCACTCTTGTGCGCGGGGAAGACGGGAAAAAAATGGGAAAATCAATATGCGCGACAAATAATGTGGGTTACCGTAATCATTCATATGGGAAAACCTTCAAATGGGGGGGAAAATTACTTGATATCGTTTCACTCCCTCGTCACACCACCGCGCCGTGCGCCTCATCTAATATAGCCACCCCGGAAAAATGGAGAAAATTCACATTCCCGAAATTCAGACGCAAATTTGTTGACAAGAAAAATGTGTTGCGAGAATGCCTGAATGTCCTGGCCACACTCATACTCTCCCTTTCGCTGGATGTGGAACAAAACATCCCCCAATTTCAACCTCATCCACCCACCAATAAGGTGGAATTGGATGGAAAAGGAATTTGTCTGCCTCGCATGTTGGGGGTCATTTGTGTGCGGCAAACTTTCCCGGCAAAACTCTCGAGAGTGACCTTCCTGTGCACTGCGAGCAAATCCCTTTTTAAATTCTATTACTGGGACATCTGTCAGATTAACTTTGCTTACCTTATTTATATCCATTTACAAATACGCAATTTAATGCCATCGGGTTTGGTTGGCATATTTGCCAAGGGAGACAAATACTCTCCGCTTCTATTTGCACTCTCTCAAATGGAACTCTGCAGTCACTCGAAGGCGCACCGCAATAATAATTGATACTCTGTCAATTCATTTGGGAGTTGAGTGGAAAATTTATCTATCTTATTGAAATGATATTTCATCTTGCTTCTTCGCCCACAGTGACCTCATTTCGCAATTTAATTTGCAGCGGAAATGCGCTTAATTGATATTAATTCCTATATACAATCGATCAATTTTCTCGAATATCTCAAGATGAAATTCATCAGAGATACTTAGTTATTTGATAAATCAAGCTCAATGAACTCAGATGCTTTGATATTCTGCACATCAAACTGCATATGAAAGCATGAGAGAAAAGTTTGAGGCCATATTTTCTCAGCCTGTGTATTTGATGATAGTTCGAACTGAGTGGAATTTCCTCAATGGTTGAAGTGTTGAGAAATGGGACAAAAAGTTGCTGAGCATGAACTTGTGAAGGAGGTGTTTTGTCGTGAATTTTCTGGTTGAATTTCCATTGCGACTTCCAACTCAATTTATAGTCATTGATTTCTTTTTCTCACATGGATTTCCCCATCAAAATCGCGATGTAGAGCAATTCACAGGCCAAGAGTGGAAAAATTGCTATAAATCTTCAGACGAGATCTTCCACTGAATAATTTTCACTGTGTGGAGTTTCATAATAATTCGCTGGGACTTGAGCGACAAATCACACAAGTTTCCTCCAACATTTTCTTTCCAGCTCAATTATTTGCCCCTTTGAGCCAAAGACAGAGCAAAGTCCCGAACATTTCCCACTATGTGAGGAAAGTTTATGGCGGAACGTTTTTCTGCAGGCGACTTGAGTGGAAAATTCTATGTGAAAAGAATGGAATAATAACGCTGTGTAGAATAAACTTGAAATTTTATATAACTTTCTATCTAATTAAATGACAACAAGTGCTTCATCATCTTCGTATACAGCTTTTTTTCCTCCGTCTCACTTCAGCCTCAAACTTCCTATATCGCACACTCTCTTCTCTCCCCTTTCCGTGCAGATTGTCGCATTATTCATGAACAAGAAACCATCCCCGTTCAAGCAGATGGTTCAGGCAATATTACCTTCGAGCGGACTTGGGCTGAAAAACTTTTTCCTTATCACTCTTGGCACGAAAAGAAAAATTCATAATTAAAAGTGACATCATAATGCAGGATATTTAAGGAGTCTCGGCAGTTGGAGAGCAAAAAATTCCCACTCCCTCTTGCACAAATAGTTGACTGTGTGCGCGCCTTTCTTCTGCCTCGCCGCACCGCCCACAGAAAACCACCCCCTCGAGCCTGTCTCCCGAATCTGTCTCGAGACATTCACTCACAACTGTAATTGATTCGAGAAATTCTGGGCTTTCTTGACACACAGTAACGATTCTCCCTCACTTCCGCGCGCGCCTCTCCATATCGACCGGGCCGACCAAGAATTCACCCTTCACTGGGCCGCAGAGGAGGCGAAAAATATCATGATGAAAAAGAAACTCCTCGAGAAAACTCAAATTCATTTTTCCACATTTTTTTGTACCCTCGCCTTTTGTGTACACTTTAATATAGCCATTGACTGTGAAAGAGTAGAAAGTTTTTATCGAGAAAGTTTCAGTGTATATATTTTTTTGCTGTCTGTGTGGGACTTGAATATGTTATCTGTGAAGCCACAATTTTTATATATTTGGTGCAGAGAAAAAAAAGGAAGGGAAGACACAAAAACACTCTGGCTGTCTTGAGAGGAAAACTCGTGCCAGAAATGGGAAGGGTGAGAAGATGAAAATTGGTGCTGAAGGGTTTATAAGAATTTATGTTTCGATTTTAAGTCACATTCCTTTTTCTCCATCTCACAGAGACACACTTTTTCCCATCTTCTTCTCTGCTTCACTCTCAATATTCTCAGTCTAGAGAGGCTTCTCACTCCACGACATCGTCTAGGATCAGAGAAATTCCGAGGAAATATCGTTGTCATTTTGACGAATATAATTCTGACTGTCATTCAGTGGATTCTAAATGAAAGTAGTCACTCTCTCCCAGTATTTATCAGCCTCTTCTGCAAATTCATTCACCATGTAGCGCCTATTAATCAGAGATGGGTGTAAAACAATTGCAGAAAGGACGAATTTCCTCGCAATTTTCCGAGGAGAGGAAAATCTCTACAGAAATATTGATTCAACCAACCGACGCGGAAATTCTCCTCGAAGACCAAAAGCAGAAAAAAATGATATTTCCCATCAATTTGCATGCAAGATCTTGGACTTTGTAATTGAAACTGTTTCATAGCGATGTGTTCAGCAAATCCTTTTCCCCCTCGTCGGGACTCTCCTTTTGACTCCGTCCATAATTCCACGAAGCCTGAGACTGGGTTGGAAAGAGGGTCTTTAGACTTAAGAAGATAGAATGGGAGAGGGTTTTATTCACAATTGCGAGAGAAAATTGAATCCTTTCAGTAAATTTGACTCCTTTGAGAATTTTTCTCCATGGCAAGCACTAAATTATTAAGAGCACTCAAAACAAGGAAGGAAGTGGAGGTAGTTTATTTAACTTTCTCAAATGATTTTCTGCATATTTCATCATGTCGTAAAAAGTATGTATTTCAATGGCACGACGCTTTTTCATTGAAATTCAATAACATGGACAAAAGGGTGTGCTTTTTTGCCATTCTCCCTCCCTCTCTCTCTCTCTCTTGTCCCTGCGGAGGTTTTAGGATTGGTTGTGTCTTATCTGGGCTTTCTCCCTTCGCTGAGAAATTTCAAATCTCCTTTCCATGAGAATAATAATAGGATGGCTTTTTATCAAAATTCCTCGCTGAACTTTAAGTCATGGGTGGATATTTTTTTTGCAAAAACTGTAATTTACTACAGCTATTTTCGATGGGATTATTCTCATGCTTGAGCTTTTGGCCTTGTTGGCGCGCGTGAAATTTTTAAAGCTCTTCACGTGGCACATAATTCCCATTTTATTGGTAAACCTCTTGGAAATTGACGCTAAGTTGGCAAATTGCTTTCCTGGGACACTTGGAGAGGTGGGTGAAATTAATAATAGTGACTCGGTGGTGAGAAGACGCTGCCAGAGGAGAAAAAGTAGTTCTTGTCACTTGAGTTAATGAATTGAAAATACACGGTACTTTTGCGCACACACACACACTCCTCCGGTGTGTCTGGAGTGATGAAAGCTCATTATCGGAGTATAATTGGATCACACTGGAGGTGAAAACGTGTTGGCTCAGTGGCAGGCGACACACGTGAAGCTCTTGGAGAGCCTGCATATGTACACATGGTTGTGAGGTGGAAGAAAAAAGCTCTTGCCACTTGAGCACGTAAGACCGGAGCGGAAGTGTGTGGGCAGATTTACCTGCGGTGATTAGTGGTGATTATCAAATTGCGGAGAAAGTTTAACACACATTAACCTCGCAGGTCACATGGTTCAAGGAGACGATGCAATTGGACACGACGGAGCGGCACATCATGGAGAATCGGGGCTCACGTCACATGCTGATTATCCGGAAAGTTCACCTGCAGGATTTCGGCAACTATTCCTGTGTGGCGGAAAACCCGCTGGGAAAGACGAGACAAACTTTGGCCCTCAGCGGAAAACCCAATACGGCAATCTTCCGGTCGGCGCCCATTAGTCAATACAAAGACAGGTGAGTCTCGCTGGGAATTCAACCCCAAACGTCAATAGACATCTGTATATGTTTGGATGGGTGGCAGTGGGTGAAAAGAGCAGAGATTTGACAGGCAATTTCACTCAATCGAGCACATTTTTCATCCCTCCTGAGCGCCCATCGGCTCACAGGAAAATTGAAATGTTTCGCAAGAGAGACACTCGTGCTGATCCAGTTAATTATGACACACTGTCGGAAGTGCAAAATCGAGAGAATTGACAGAATTTCCCTCGTGTCTTTTTGCTGAAGCACAGGCCGAACTTTAAGACTTCTTGTTCCCGTCAAAAGTGTCCTGAAAAGTCTCGTATTCAGCTCGAGGGGCAGAAAACTCACAAGTCTGACTACTTTTTGAGACTATCTTCTTGTGTTATGTGCTCAAAATAATCCGATCAATTGCTCCCTAGTGGAAATACAGTTTGCAATCGCCGTCAGGTGCTCTGAAAATGCCATTAAATTACCACAAATCTTGCCAAAACTGTATTTTCGCTTGCAAATGCAAAACAGTCATTTAGTTAGTCGCTCAATCATGCGGTGTGAAAAGAATGATTTGCACAACAATCGAGTGAATTTGAAAAGGACATGCTGATGCAGGGCAGAAGTGACACGGCAGCAGAACCGCGCTTCATCCAATTGAAGTTTCCTGCGGGAGGTTCCGCTCTGTTTAATCACACAGCATGTAAAAGTCTCTCTCTCTCTCGTCCTGGAACAGGTACAATATTTCATGGACTGTCGACTCGCATTCGCCGGTGGAGGAGTTCAAATTGTTTTTCCGGCGAGTGCCGCAGGGGCACGAGATTGACAACAGCATAGAACAGTCGCAGCCGCTGCAGCACCAGGGCGTCATTTACACTCAGCGCGGCTACACGGGACACCACTGGCCGCCGCGCTCCGACTGGCGGGACGTCGTCCTGCCCGCCATCCCGCTCTCACATCACTTCACCCAGGGCATGAGCTACATGATCCGCAACCTCGACCCCAATCAGCACTACGAGGCCAAAGTGCAGGCCAGGTATGTGCAATTTCCGCAGAGATTCACCCCAGGCGGCGAAAGGAAGTGCAGGACTCTCAGGGCGGAAGCGATGATGCTTTCCGTTCCCCGAGTAAAATGCTGTATCTTGAAATTTGTGGCTTAATTAGAAATTCTCACCTTGTCCTTAAATATGGTTCGGGAAGCAGATTTTCATCATGTGAGGAAATGAGAGATATTTACTGAAAGTTCCGTATATTTGAACTTCTCTTAAGATGAAAATAAGTGCAAAATTAACGATTTTATCCCAAATTACCCGCGTTCGCATATTTAAAGCCTGTTGTAATGAAAGTGTTCACAATTAGAAATCGAATTGATATAATTCTTATCCGTAAATTATAGTTAACTGCTGAAATTGAAAAACTAGTGAAAATAGAATGATTTGCAACATCTCTTACATCCCACCACTTATCCAATTAGCTAATATCGATTGACCAATTTCAATGGCCATTCTGAATAGTCGGTTTCGCCACTTCACAGTTTCTGGCTCTTCCCATTGTGAACAGTATCGCATGAAAAGATTTGGTCACTTTTAATTATTTCTCCTTCAACAGGAATCGATACGGCTGGAGTGACTTGTCGGAGAGTTTTGAGTTCAGCACTTCAATGAACGGTGAGTGCTCTCTGGCTGAAGTTCCCTGCGTGACAGACACAAAATCCCCCCGAACCCCACCCGATGGACCCCTTTGGCGTGTATCTAATTGAAGTGTCGGACTCTCAGAGTGTTAAATATTTAAAGTTGTGTGCAGTTGGTGAGCGTTTGACAATGTGGAATTGACGTTGAAACTAAGAACTTTCCACTTAAAACACTTTCACACTTAAATCATGCTACTTCTCTCTTCCTGTCTAACTTTTTTCAGTTTATGTGTCTTTCTTTTCTCCATCACACACACACAGTTTATTTTTATGTTCTCACCTTCCCTGCATTTTCTCTTCTTTCCACAGATGAATATACCGATATCGCGTCTCTTATCAACCGTGGCCTCTCAGGTTAGTTGACATTATCACACATTTTCACATTATAATGCTTTCTCCTCGCCTCAGTTGCTTTCCTTTCACCATCACACATTATCATCTGCTTTATTTCAATCACACGCCGTTTTTTTCTCCACCACACTTTTCGGCGGTCAATTGAGAGGACAATTTTCGCAGTTTTTTCCACATCTGGGCAAACATAAATCCTCAAATGGGCGGAAAATTATCCGGAGTGAGAGAGAGAGAGAGTTGTTATTGTGTGAAAATTGCGTTAGTGTGTTGAATATATTTTGGTGAAAATTACACGCGGAACATTTATGTGCATAAATGACGCGAATGAAAAACTGTATTTATATTAATTCCTGGCGACCACTTTTAATTAATTCCACTCAACATAATTGAATAATTGCTCAATAAATGTAGGCGAAACATTTAATTTACAGGGAGTTATGAACCCTTGTAGGCAATTTACAAATTGGTTTGTCAATTAAAATACACACAATTTCGCGCGCGCGCGAATCTGGGATTCACGAGGATTTAAATCGCTAAGACAAAGTGCTTCTTCTCATTGCAGATTCCGAAATGAGGGACATGGGCGTCACATTCTACAGCCGTGGGTCACGATCTTCACTCCAACACGGTCGATATTTTCAGACATTTATGCAAATCTCCATATTTTTTATATACCTTTATATGTAAGAAGATAAACTTGAAGAAAATCTCCTGAAAATCAGCAAGAGAAAATTTTCAATCAATATAGAGATAAAAAGATGAAAGTCCATTCACTCAAATCCTCTTTCGCCCCCCCCTCAAATTGATCTCACCCCAAAGTGATTTTGCAGAGGGGTGAGAAAAATGACGTAGAATCTGTCTCTGTAGACAAAACCATTTGTAAATAAGTAAATAGATGATAAAATATTTAATTTCTCCTCACAATTCACTGGATGGAAAACCACAGACTTCACCAAGGCATATAAGATTCAATGTATAGGAGACCAAGAGACACACATGAACACTTTGAATGTAATACTCGTGAAAATGTCGTTAGAGTACGATAATACATAAATTAATAATATTCAGCATAATGATTATGATAACTTAATGAAGAAGAGCTTATTTTCTCACAACATTCTCGCACTGTCACACCGCATATTTCTAAAGCGTTAGCAGACGACGCCACATGGAGAAGTGTGTCTCCGGGAATTTCTTTCACAAGCACAATAATTCAGGAGAGTCTTGTGTACACCAGAAGTATGATGAGGATGAATTTAATTTGAGTGTCTATAAAGTCTGGCATTTGTGAAAGAACTTCTCACCACATTATATTGTGGCGCAATTCAAAATTTGTGTGACTTTCTGATGTATTATATTATGAGCAAAATGAGAGAAAATTAAACATTCCTCTTATGCGTTTTACCTTACATTCGTCGCCTCTTAGCACGGAGGAAAATTCCTCAGCAGTCTCACACCTTCGGGGATTTCCTCTGCATTCTGTACACACACACAAATTTCCAAAACTGACACCATTGAGACAAGGATGTTACCACAGAAGCCTATAGTGACTATTTAATTAATAGCTTAATAAATTGATTTTTCCTCACCCCTTAGTCGGCGTCTTTCCTTCGAACACTGCAAATATTACTGCAACAATTCGTGTGTTCTTGCGAACACTTCTTTCTTGCCTTCCGTAATGCGCGCCCCCTCGCGAAGGGTATTGTATAAATAAAACATGATTAATGTATTTGCATTTAAGCTTAAATAATTAATTATAAAAATGTCAAGTGCGAGGCATGAAATTTACAGCCGAGACTTTCTTTCGCCAGTGTGCAGCAATTAGATGGTGTTCTTATTTATGGCGAAGTGCCACTGCGACAAAATTGCACACGAAAACAGAAAGGATTCAGAGTAAAGTGAGTTTAGAGTGCTTTCCAATCCACTCACCCAATCAATTGCACATTCACTAGTCTTGAATAGAGCTGCTAAATTATAATTTTCTCTATTAAATTGTGAGCAAAATGTGATTTCTGAACAGTAAATTAATTAATTCTGTTCACTCATAGTTTTGTAATTGTGATTCTCCAGAAATAACAAGCAAATCCTGCCTTTTTCCAATAATACTATCAATTAGACCTTTTAGTGAAATTCCTCTTGCTTTTCATATGTGAAATTTCATAAAACAGTGCTTTGTAAAACCACAGACAATATTCATGGCACATTCATATAATTATTTGGCAAGTGCGGAAACTTCCCACAATAGAATGTGCAAATTTACACACTCTGGCGATGGAATTTATTTACCAGGGAAAAGTGGTATGAAAAGTTAAAAATGGGTAATTTGGTCGTGTGCAGGAAGGTACATATAATAATTAATTAATTAATTGGGGTAAAATCCAGTGAGGAGAACAAAAAGCCCGAAAGTTCAGCCACCCGCGCGTTCCCAATCATGTACACTTTTGGCCTTTCGGTTATAGTATTATTATGATATGCAGGAGCAGAGCATTTGGTAATGAATTCTGCAGTATTAATTGCTGGGCACCAACCGAAACCAGAGCGGCCCACCTGGGCAGGAAGGGGACGGCGAAATAACTCAATGTGGAAAATAACTTCCGCGTGTCGCGGCGAAGGGTCATTCGGCGACATCAACAGCCGAAATTCCCGTGCACAATTGTTACATCGGTGGATACACGATGCCACCCCTTCCGGCAGTGAATTAAAATGTGGGCCATGGGCGGCAGTTTGTTTTGTGCACATCCACCCAATATCCCGTCAATAATTAATGTGTGTGCGCGCCACTGAGAGCTTTCCCGCGCGCTTTTATTAGCACTATTATCCACACGTCATATTGTGGGTGTAATTAGCATAAAACTGTATAACAAATTGAATTATATCACCCATTTTTGTATTATGAATCAGCTATTTATGCATTTCACCCTCTGCAACACTCTTTCGGCGCGCACACTTTTTAATCCGACGCGCGAATTGAGCCTGGCGCAAAAGTATGTGACTTTTTGCCACCGAGCGCATAAAAGAGACGAAAAAATAATGTATAGCATTGAACAAATTAATGCAGCGAGATTATTTTTGCTCATTAACTGCACACCGATGCAATCAGTGATATGTTTTTTTCGTACTTTCCATCATACAAATTTATCGATTCAATAATTAAATTTTCACTGAAAGAGTGATGGAAATAATAAACATTTTATCGAAATGCAGAACGAATTTTGTGGTTGGCAATACTGGTAATTTATTTTTAAAACTCATAATGACTCTTTTTTCACCAATATTTCACATGATTCGTAATTAAAACACTCAAACTAATTTCCGATGTCGCACATTTTGGCCACAGGCAAAACAATGGCAAAAAATATATTAAAATACGGAGAAAAACGAGGATGAAAAAATGCAAAAGGATCGAGTTAATGAATTTTATAATGAAAGCCAAAATACACAGAAAATCTCAATTATTTTTGCTTTGCAACTTTATACCCTTGTGAGATTATTTGTGCATTGGGTTCATTGCAGAAATTACTCATTTTTTGCGTTTTAATTACATGCAAATTTGTCTATCTTCTGATCTGCCCCCTTTTGAGGAACAACTCTTTATGGCTGACAAGAAGAGGCGGGAAAAATGATAATGAATGTGTGTATTGAAGGGTGTGTGGAAGGAATTATTTATTGGGAAAATTTGTGGGGTCAGAGTCACTCATTTATTGAGCCGAAAAGAGCGGGTTTAATTCAGTTTAATGACAGGGAAATTGAAACCATTCTGTCAAGTGCTAGAAACACTTTAATGCTGCATTCTGAATAATTTAACTCGCTGTCAGAGTTGAACTTGAAGCACGAGAGAGTAAAGAGAAATTAATGAATAAACAAACATCACAAAAGTGAAAATGTAGTTAGATTCGGTCATATTAAAATTATAAAATTACATTTGTGGATAAAATTGCATTTAAGTGTAATTCATTTGTAATAAGAAAGCAGAAAAAATGATGTAATTTAAGGTGAAAAAAAATTCAGTGTGAATTGTCGTGATGCAATGGAAAACAAACACTCTCTATGCATTTCTGACCATATTTACATTTAATTATATTTTATATACATGTGAGAAAGAGAGAGGAGATATGAGAAATCAAGCATGGAATAGAGTAAGAATTATTCTTAAAGAAAAGTAAAACATGTAATTTTTAAATGTCAGAAAGATAAAAAAAAGTGAGATAATAAAGTCATTTGTTTCTAAGACATCCTGACTTTAGAAAAATATTTCTTCTTCCCTTGACACATTCCTCTTCACGCGCTCCCATGAGAAAATGCTCCCATTTTCAGCACAGCAACGAAGGTGCTTTATGGAGTGGAAATTAACACTTTTCCCGGGAATTTGCATCCTCCTCTCAGCTCACCAGTGAGAAAGACCATAACGTGTCTAATTAATGCTAGTGGACAACTTTTTCCAGCATTTGGAAGAGGAAGGGAAAAGTATCGGGCATTGCAACGTGACAAATGCAATTTTTCTTCAATGAAATTTCATTTTCATGGCTTCCCAGAATACTGGAAGGAATTTTTCAACAATAGAGAACAATTCCATTTGTTCAGCGTCCCTCGTGAAATTGCACTCATTTTGCAGAATTTTGCTTCTCCAGCCAAGGAAGCAATAACACGAAGATATGGTGTACACAAATTGGATTGATTAAAAATGTGGATGCAAAATGAAGATAATAAAAATTAGAAATCCAATGGAATTTCTACTGCATTGATGGTTTTTTTCGGAGTGCACATGTTCCCTTGTCTTCTCCTGTGAAGTCTACATAATTTCTGCCCGAAAATAAATTCTCCCTTAACCCATTACAGATACTTTTTCGTCCTCAAAGGGAGTGAATTTGCATAGAAGGATGAAAGCTTGTGCAGGAACGCAATATTGCTTGTATGTCGTTTTCCTTCCTTTTGCCGCTGGTGAGCTTGGAAAAAGACGTTCTGCACTTGTGGTGTGCAAACACAAGAGATGAAGATGGAGTACATTGTGTGGCGGAGGGACGTCTCATCGTGGATGCACTGCCAGAAGAGATGCTCTGCATGTGTTTTCGCTCTGAAAACATGATTTGTTGCCTGCAATGTGTCTCCCAAGGGTGTCTTTTGTGTGCCATCAGGCAGTGAATGGTGGAATTTTTTCCAGCAACCACCCGAAAAAGAGCACACTTTTCCATTCATTCAATTTTAATCAATCAAAAAGCCGCCATCGAGTGAGGGCGTGAGGCACGCAATTGCCGTGCCAAATGATGAATCTCATGAGTCTGCTAGTTGAATTTATCTAAAAGGATCACCCGCAGTCCGGGAGGGAATGGGATTTCAATTAGTGAAAGTGAAGCGATCCAGGATGAGCATGCCAAGCTGTGGCATCTCCTGCTCACCACACCGTAAACAGCAAATGGGATTAATTATGGTGGCGGGATTTTAAGGTTTTCCAAAATTTCCCCTCCGTGTGGATTATGCGATATTAGAAATTTTGGTCATCATGTCATCTCATCAAACCACCGATTCTCACACCATGACCTCACCCAATTTACACCCCGCAAACTTTATGCGATGCTTAATTTACGGTCGCTTCGCAACCTTCGATATTTCGGCAAAATAAATGCGCGGCAAAAACTGGTAAATCATTGACTTTATTGGGCGAAAAGTTCCCATATCTTTTAGCCCAAAAATTAAGCATGAATTCTTCCACTTTATGATATGCCATACAGAAGAGATAAACTTTAATATTCCCATAATAGCAACTTTCTCACACGAAATTTCCCAGAGAAAGAGAGCTTCAGTAAATGCAATTTGCTCTTTTCCACGCAATTTTCTCCCCATATTTCCTTAACATGGGGCGAGAAATAAAATTCCATCTCACCTCGGTGTCAATTTTCTCGGGTATTCTTGCGATGTTTGATCAAGAGGAGATGTAGTGCGAGATAGGAAGTCGAGGGGTGAAAACTAATAAATACGT